TACCTTATTATAGTGAAAAGCACTAAATTGATTTGTAACTACAACCTGTAATAATTTTTGGAATCCTTTTACATATCAGAATGATGAGTTGATGAATTTCAAGGTATAAAATAAAAAGCCAATGAAACATTGTGTACATTTTCCTTTAAGTTTCAAATGGTAAATGTAAAATTTTCATGACAGAGAGAGAATGACTATGTGCACAGTAAAAGGTTCCATACTTTAAATGATCATAGAGATGGTAAGGATTATTCCTGCTATGCTATGAATGGCCTTGTGGCCCCAAATAGAGGATGCTGTAAAAAATTATGAAGGAATTATGCAGAACAAGACTAGAATATTATGGTCAAATTGTTACTTGTAACAATTTGTACTTGTAACAACTTGTAATTTTCATGGTCATGCCTTTCTACTATTCATTATCAGGTTCAGCTAAATAAAGTGGTCTTGTCAAAATTATTGGGGAAAAAAAAACAACCCTGCACCAGAAACTATTCTAATTTTGTATGAGAAGATTAGACAATTTTGGGCCCATTTTAAGGGTTTCTTGAAATTTGACATTTAAGAAATTGTACAGTTTTTACAGTAAATTCTTCTCTGAAGTGCAGATGAAGCCAGCTACTGAAAAAGCAAATTAAATTTATAGTGATCGTGCTAAATGTTTCAGTACCTCTATAATAACTAATAACTCATTCTTTTTTTTTTTTTTCGGAGGGTGGGGGTGTACCAGGGATTGAACTTGAGGGCACTAGACCACTGAACAACATTCCCAGCCCTATTTTGTATTTTATTTAAAGACAAGGTCTCACTCAGTTTCTTAGTGCCTGGCTTTTGCTGAGACTGGCTTTGAATTCAAGATCCTCCTGTCTCAGCCTCCTGAGCCACTGGGATTACAGGCCTGTGCCACTGCGCCCAGTTATATAACTCATTATTGAAGCCAAATTTAGGTAATGTAATGAGCTAGTTCAAAAATTGAATATTTAAGTTAACAAGCAGCATATATATAGTTTTTATAAACTGTGCTTAACAGTTGGGTGAAATTCAAGAGTAGCTTGCTGATGCAAAGATGGGAAGAACTGTGAGTCATCAAGATAATTCCTGACTAATCTCCTTAGTGAACTAAAATAGTTATTATGTTTRTAAGTCATATTTTCATGGATTATATTTTCCTTGGATAGACTGCTAAAATTAAATGGTCTGTGTATAGAGTAACTCATCTCATAACATTTTCATCAAGGCCTTTATTTTATAGTCCTTGCTTTGTCAGYATCACAAATACTGATTGCTTTTCCACTGTGTACTTAGCATGATTTGCTTTGCTTTGCTAGTTCAACATCTGCTAGCTGAGAAATACAGGTGGTTTAGAGATCATGMTCTTAAGTGTATTGTAAAGTGTGTGAAATTCATTTTGGAGTAGAAGATATCACCTCAAAGATTGTTAATGATCTATCTGAGGATTATTAGACACGTTTTCATTCTCAAGAGTTTCTTGGAGTGCTCTAAATCATTGTTAGAGAGGGATATCTTTGAATATGGTATTTCCAGTTTTCTACTTTTAATACTAGAAGAAGCTATTTTAATTTTGGCAAGTCCSATATTAACTGGAGCCAATTTCATGGAATGTGTACTTTGTAGGTAAAAGGAAAAATTTAGCTGACATTATACTATTCAATTCCCCCAAGTAATCAGAAAGTTGAGGTGTATCATGTTAGGAATAGAAGACTATATTAAGAAAATGAGATGAATGGTATTCAGGAAAAGGATATGTAGTATGAAGGATACTCATTTTCTCCAAATGTTATATAACTGTTTGTAAGTTGCACAGAATGTAGAAGAGTTAACAACTTGTTCTCTTCTGTTAAACATATATTTATATCTYAGTTAYAGATATTTAGAATTTATAAACATTTATAATTCAAAATTAAGATAAAGATTATTAGAATATATTGATAGAGTAAAAATTTATTATGTAATACTATGAACAACCATAATGATCACTTTCATATAGCACTGAGAATTGGATGGRCTTTTCAGATAAGTGTCATGAAAAAATTTCTGGAATGGTTGGGGAAAGTTTTAAAGACCCTTGCTTTCTTGCTTCTAGGGYGATTCTGGTTTCCTAATATAAGTAGTAAAGAAAGTGCTAGGTTTCTATCATAGTGTAAGTCTAATTCTAATGGGAAGGAAAGAGAAGGTTGAACACATGTATGTTGACAAGATTTCTTTAAAATTCATAGGCTGTGTTACCAAATATTTCATTGGTTGAGGTGTTTGTGTGTGTGTATGAGAGAGAGAGAGAAAGAGAGAGACATACACACACTAGGAATCTAACCCAGGGCCTCATGCATGCCAGGCAAGTGTTCAACAAACTGAGCCAAATTTCCAGCCCATGAGATAAGTAACTTTTTAAAAAAAACTGTATGCACTTTCTAATATGGCTATTTCAGAACGTTTTTAGAATATCCATACTGGAAATCCAACAAAATGTGTGGTATTTAGTGTATATGTACACTTTAAAAATTTCTCACCATTAGTAGTTTTCTGTTTTTTTTTTTTATTTAAAATATGCTGGTCTGAAACAGGGCTTGTTGGAGCAAGTACTATTTCAGGATGCTAATTACAATATAGTTTTACAGTGTAAGGAGTCATTAGAGGGGACATTAACTTTGAACATTTTGCATTCAGCTGTGTTTATCTTGTCACTGTTACTGTGTAAGTGAGGCTATGAGAGAGYATTTTCTTATGCAGGAGGGCAATAATAAGAAAAATAGGAAATTAAAATTATGCCTAAGGRAAGTTTAATAGTTTTGATATATTTCTGAAAGTACCGATGCCCTTGTTGACAAGTTTTCTCATTGCTAGTAAACTTACATTCATAGTTTTAGGCTTTAAAAAAATGACACATTTGTAATATCCTTAAGTATGAAAGCAAGTGATGTCTATGAATTTCTTTTGGGACTATGTATGCTTATCTTAATATATTTGTTTTCTTTTTTCAGAATTAATTTAATGTAAGCAGTGTTAGAAAACTTTGAAATAAAATATAGAAAATATAGAAAAATGTATTCAAGTATTTCATAGACATCGAGACAGTTTAGTTTATCATTATGTCAAATYCCCCAACTAGTTCTCAGTGATAAGAAACAGTCTGTTTTGCTCTTATCTTCAATATAAGAATATTCTTTCATGGTTTTAGTTCATAGACAGCAAATGAAGACASATATGTATAATTTTGGGGTGGGTAGTCCTCAAAGTAGGTAAAGTACAGAATAACAAATTCTTCCAGTTGTAGAATTTTCATGATGACATATTTTCCTKGTCTCAATTACTTAGAGAATTTKTTTTTTTAATGCTAAGTACTTTTTTAAAGTTAATTKTTAAAAACTAAACCAAAGTACAWAAACATTGAAAAGATTCCATTTTAAATGACAGTTCCTGCTTTTAGTTTGAGAGTGGTTAAAGGTCAGAAAATAGTACACAYGATTTCAGAACTGGCTTATTTTTCTATCTTATATCAGCTTAATGTTTATTTTTCTCTGTAAATAATTTGATACACTGAGTTTTCATCCAGTGCTACTGATAATTAAAATATCTTAAAAGCACTCAAAAATATTTTCAAATACAACATTGATGGTAAAAAAATAATTTAAAAAAATAGCAAGAGAAAAGAATTAGAGTCTGGTTCAGCTTAACCAAGAACACTATCACATATTTCTACCTAATTACACTGCATGAAATGAGCTGATACCCCATTGCAGTTGAAATAATCCCATGGGGGTATTGATAAATTTTAAGTAAAATTTTTATTTAAAATCATTCACATGTTGTGAATGGCTTATATTTTGAATTCATTAATTCAGAAATATGAAAACAATCTTCATAGAATTGAGTGACATATCAATTATAAACCTACTCTCTTTATATTTGGAAAGTTTGAACCCATGTAATTTTGATGGGAAACTGTGCTTATTAAAAAATTTTTCATGAATTTGTTTTTATTGAATTCATTTTTATCAAAATGTAAATACTTTTAATTACATTGATATTTAAAGTCTCATTCTAAACCAAAATATAAAAGTTACTGAACTTTGTTCAGTTATATATCAAAACATTAAATGTAATCAYAAACAAGTAAGCAGCTATTAAAAATATAACAAAAATGAAGTTGCTGGCTTGAATTTTTCAGTGTTTGGCAATAATTTAAAATACATAATTATAACAATTATTTTAAAACAAAAATGTCTTTAAGTAATTCCATCCTTATTCCTAGAGATAAAAATTTTATGAAAAGTAGGTTTTTGAATACAGTGTGATCTACTAAGCCATTTGCTTGAAATCTCCACAAAGGAAAACTTGGTATTCTAAATATTTGTATATGGTATTCTAAACAATGAAAGTTTTTTAACCTCCTAATTTGAAACTTTTTGTCACTACATATGTTCTATAGTGTTTCTATGTATAATAATACTTAACTAATTCGAGTGAATTTTCCACTGAATTACTGAATACTTTCCYTTTGTGTGAATATAAGAAAATAATTTTACAGTTCAAACTATTGATATTTTTTATCTTTGTCATTTTCCTTTTTTCTTTCATAAAATTTACTGTACAAATCTTGCTTTTGTCACAGTTAATATCACTGAATTAAAAATCAAGATACTCCAAAGTAGTTTTTACATCTACTACTATGTAATATTATATAACATACAAACACATTGGCAGTAAAGCTTCCACATATATGATTTACTATGAAGAAAACATTTCTTCTTGAATTAACATGAAACAGAATCCCCATAATACATATTTTGTATCCATTAAAAGAACCTTGGCTTCTCTCATGACTTCACATAAMAATCAAAATAAACCTTTTCCTCTTACTGTTTTAATATAATGGCTATCATTTGGACACAGCACACATGTACATATGCACACATACATACAGCTATGGCAAGAAAATTTTCTTCTGAATTTAATGTTTGTGTTTGTATGCCATCAGGGACTTAATCTTGTTGCTGATGAATATCCTCATGCCTAAGGATTTTATAGATAACCCAGTAGAAAATGTTAAAAATCAAGAAAGCTAATGGGAAGCAGGCTCGGGAGATGGTGTCAATCTTCTTGGCCCGATCAATAAAGACCTTCCTCATTTCATCAGGATTTTTTGGCATTACCTGGACAGGATGGTTTGGGCCCTTTGGAGTTACACCATCTTTTGCTTGCAGACATGGTCCCATTCCATATGCTGTGAAGCTGAATCGGCTTTCCCTTACCTCATCATCCTGTCAAAGAAAAATGCAAGAAAACTTTTTGTTAATGGAATAGGGCATGTATGGTAGGCATTTCACAATTATGACAAATTTTATCATCATAGATTTTTGCACTTATATGAAGAAAAAGATAACTAAAGCATATAAAAATGAGTGACTTATTCTCCCTTTGAAGTTTTATTTATCCTGATRCACCATCCAGATTTGCCCTTTAATAAATGTAAAACTCTCAAAAGATGTTTTAATGAAAAACTAAAATTCTGATAWTTTCTATATATTACTAGAATATCTAACCAAGAGATCAAGAAATAAAGCTATTGAAGCACTGTATAATATATACTCTCATATACTAGACTTTTTAATATGATGTGTCTRAGTATACAAATATGTGATATAAGATGGTAAAAATACCAAGATCACTGACTGAATTTTTCTTTCTCATGGAGACACCTTTTAATGGTTGTTTCACACAAATATGAGTTACTTCCTTGGAAAATACAAAGAAACACATAATAACACTTGGTTGCTTACTGTTATCCTTCCTTTATGCTACTTCTATGTTTTACACTCACTTTTTTTTGAACAAATTTAAGATAGTCATATATTYTACTTTATATGTAGCTGTTTTTCAGGTACAGTAGTTTGGTCCAAATTATGAATGATATTAGRCAGTTTATTTCATGTTCAAGAAATCAACTTGTTATAAATTTAAAATATTATGTTCTTCTAAAAGGTCTAATTATTTTTAAATATGGCAAATTGAAGAGAATTTTCATATATAAAAATGAAAAACACTGGGCTRGGGATATAGCTCAGTTGGTAGAGTGCTTGCCCTGCATGCACAAGGCCCTGGGTTCAATCCCCAGTACCACAAAAAAAGAAAAGAAAAACATTCTCAAAATTTAATGAAAAAAAATTTAATAAATATATTATCATAAATGTGCTCCTGATAGAGAAATATGGTATTTAATAATTAAATTCATTAATAAGGAAAATTCATTTATGCTACTAAAATTGAAAATTTAAAATGTAAYAATATGTTTTATAAGGTTATATGTCTGCTATGATAGTGCTTTTGCTTGGTAATATAAGATATAAAAATAATTAAATAGGCTCAAACTCTTGAAAATTACTTCAGGTCTGTGAAAGTAGTTGCTCARTGAAGAGTATATTTTAAAATTTATAAATGAATAATAGAAATTATTATGGATTCTAAAAATGAGAAAATGACTAAAGTTGATTCATTGATGCATAAATTTGTTTTTAGGAATTATGAAACTGAATTCCACCTGAAAAACAAAAGCAAGTAATTATTGTAAAACATTTCAGTTGTAATTTGATTAAGCAATTAAATTTTGAGGAAACAAGGATGAAATAAAAGCTGACAGTTTATATTACCTGAAAATAAATCTGCCAATCCAAGCGATCTGTGTTTACTGTTGTAATCTTGATAAAAATTGGAAATTAGTGAAAGCATCCTCATTTCGACTATTATTTGTTTTTCTTTTCTTTTGGCTTCCATAAAAATTTTAAGACAAACCTACTTCCTTTGAAATTTTCTATATCTTGAATAAAAGTATATATAGTAGCTATCAAAACAGTTCTTATGTAAGTGCTAAATAGCCCCCTTACAATTTAGTAAATTATGCTGATGTTTACATTCCAGAAGGAAAACATAGGTCACCTGGTTAAGTTATATTATTTTGTGTGCAGATTAACTCAGTGTTGAAGTTTAATATGGCCTTTTAAACTACATTAACTGATGTATTAAAAAAACTCATCTTAAAATTAGACCAAAATAACTTTCTCAGTAGGCATTTATGTATGTATATTGGCATACTAGTTGAAACAGGAAATTCATTACTACAATGTTAAGATTTTAGCATAACCTTATGTGTTTAACAAAGTAGAATCCATTAACCACCTTTTTAACTATCTGTTCTGGAGAACTTTAAAGCCTTTACAGACTGCTCCCGCAACCCCCCCCCCCCCCAAAAGCAGTCAAAATCCATTTAAAATTAGTACTCAATGAACAACTAAATTTTTCTCAATTGTGTCTTTCTAMATAACTGACTGTGTGTAATGGGTTAACATCAGGCCTAAACTGTTACAAGACTCCTAAGAATGACCCCTAATTTCTTTGGCATCTTTTCCTTGAAAACAATGGAGAACCCAAGACAGCTTCATTCAGTTGGAGAGACTCACCTGCCCTGAGGGAGCTACATATAATTGATATAGCCCCTAACTTTTATACCSATGGTCCTTTGTGGGTAAGGGGGACAAAAGAAGCTGTGATCTTGAGAAATACCTGTGTCTCCCATGTGATAAAGATACTGTAGACCTGATGTGTTCCTTGCATCACATCCTCCTATGAGGCTTAGTAAATGTAATATTAACTTAAAGCCCATTGTTGTCTGAAGAGTCTGAGTGACAATTTGAAACGCCCAAATCTCAGCAGTGGAAACAAAATCTGGCCAGGCTTTGGGATCCTTTTAAAATTAATATGGCCAAAAGTTTGGGGCATGATTCTGAGGAGAATCTGATGCTGATCTATGCTGGGTTTGAGGTAGCAAAATTTCTATAGAAAGTAATTAGGGATAAATCATACTACTGGAATATTGATGGCATAGATTTATCCCTTGTGGAAGGGTCAGATGAATGACCACTGAGATAAAATTGAGGAGAAAGTTATTCAAGATACAATTAATTCCTTATTCCCTATTAATTAATCATCCTTGTGAAAACGAGGCCACAGAAAACAGTAAGCACAGCAAGCAGATTCATTACTTGTGTTCAAGGTGTAAACAAAAGCCAAGTTGGGACTCAAAATGACATTACATTTAATCTTTATGTTGTCTTTCTGCAACCCCAGGCAAGTGGCACTAGAAACTAGTATCTATAGTGCAGCTCTGTACCATAAATGTATARTGTGAGCTACAAATGAAATGCATGTAAAATTTTAAATTTTACTTTAATTACATTTAACACATAATGTAAGAAGCAGATAAAATTAATTTTAATTTTAAAAWTTTAACTTGTTATGGCCAACATATTATTTTAACATTTGTTCAAAATAAAAATTGAGAAGTTTTACATTGACAATTTCATATTAAGTTCTTGAAATCTAGTGTGTATTTTATAATTACAGCATATTTTGATTAAGATACTACATTTTTGGTGCTTAATAGTTAACAAATTGGACAAAGCAATTATAGCACAAAGCAGCTGGGTTACCTTGCTGAGAAGTGCCAGAAGATCTCTGTGCAATCCATGATTCCTGAATCTTTAGATTGATTGATTGACCCAAAAACTAATAATATATTTATGTATACTGTAGCAYGAAAGGCAATGTTTAGCATAAATGGTACCCCCAACTTGCTTCACTGTTCTAATTTAAGAATCACTGTTGGATATAATATCAAAGATCCCTTTTGAGTGGGTGAAACCTGTGGTGATATGGATCTGAGCTAAAAAGGGAAACTGGTTCTCTCAATACTGTGACATCTCTGTAGAAGAGTAGATAGTTAAGTTTAGTAGCAAATCTGGGCTGGCCATATAATAACTAGAAATGAGCCTACCYATATCATAGCCTCTCACCTAAATTCTGGTAGACAAACTATGGTAACAGAGTTCCTTTGGTATGTGGTTGTTCTTTAGGATAGAAAGAGGACATATAGATTCATAGGCATATTAACTCTTGTACTAGCCATGCTGGGTTTCACCTATGGGAACAAATCTGTACCATTCAGAAGAAAAATCATGGCCAGAGGCTAATCTATTAGTTCTTTTTAGGTGATTAAGACACAAGAAGAATACAACAAAAATGGACAGGATTGCTCTGAATGATTTCCTGGCATTTTTATCACCAGCTGAGAAGTTGGAAATCTATTCCAGTTTCAGCAGCTGCGTCCACTAAGGATCCCTGTTAGATCTGTTCCTTTCATCTCAGGAGATGAGTATAGTGATGCCAGTGGGGAATGGGGGAAAAAAAGAAAAAAAAAAAAAGGCACTGACACTGGTTGCTAAATTTACTCCATGGAGTTAAGGCAGCTGAAAGAAAGAAAACTGAAAGGCCAAGATCACCTTGCCCAATCTGAATGGACTCCAAAGTTATACCGTGGTTAAAGTTCAATGGCAAGTAGTACTAAATACAGCGTATTGGAATTACTGGTTACATCATAAAATATATGGTGATTCTGCTGGGGAAAAAGACTGTAACCTGAGGAGAAAAAGAGAAGCTGATGGGGCAGGTATGGAGGCAAAGCAACTAGCTGTGGTCGTGGGTATGGTCATATTAAAAATCGTAGATAGGGGAAAAAAAAGAGTAATATATATCCAGTAAATGATATTGCCTTTGGTGAAATGTATAATTGGAAAGAATGTGACACTAAATGAAGGATCTTGCTTGAGCCTTCTCTTTGGTAAATCATTCCTTAGTCTAGTTTTAATAGGATATATTAAAATKGGAGTCTTTCAAATTGCCTAAATCTTCATTTGAGTAAATATTAAATACTTTGATATTCCAGAAAGATAATGGGAACACTCATTTCTGACTAAGGAACTAGTGGAGACAGGAATGCTGGTCCTCATCAGTGGTCTGTAGAATAGCATATCTAGCCTATGATAAAAGTAGATGGATATTGCAGGCTGACTGCTGTTTCTGCCCAATATAATATTTCAACAGTATCTCTACCATGCTGAATGTGGGGAAACTATTCAAGAGTTTATCAGGGCAAAGAAGGCAGGTGTGATTTTATAGATTTGAAGCATCTTGTGCTGTCTTTTAATCCCAATCTAAAACATATGCTAAATGTAGCATCCCTTCATGTGGGGAAGACAAAATCATAATTTTCCTTCCTTCCCTAAGGAGGCATGAATTATCCAGCATATTTTCACAACTTAATAAGAAACTGGTTCAGATCACTTGTCAGAAGTAAACTAACTAAGGATAAATGATTGTTTTTAAACTCACTGAGAAGAAAGGGAGTTTGGAAAATTTTAGTGGCACATGT